GTAACATAAAGATGTTCTCTAATTCATATAGTATTGTGTTTGAGTCATGTCAAACAGATGCTCCGCAACTCATGTACTATGATGTTTGATTAATGTTGCAAAGATGATCTCTAGCTCACATAATATTTGATGAATGTTATAAAGGTGATCTCTAATTCAAATGTTTGATTAATTTTCATTGTTTTATTATATTCTTATACGCCTTAGGACACATCTTGTTCAAGCAGAGATTTATATCTTGGCTTCTGTGTAAAGGCAATAATGAAGTCATTTTTGTGAGTGCAATGGTTGAGAAGTAGACAAAGGAGATCCCCACAAATCTGAAATTTAGACACTTTCAATTTAACACAAAGTAGATTTATAAACTGGATACTCTGGTATAGATATTAGATTCCCATTGCATACTTTTCTAAACTCTCTTTAAATTGTTTTTAAATGTTTGGCCTTTTGAAATTTGAGTTTCAGGGAAATAATTTCAAACTGGTGCCGTCACAATACAGAGAGCTACTGTACTTAGGCGAATCCCATCCTTTGAATTGTTATTGTTTACCAGACATCAAAACCACTTCAAATGTTATTGTTTACTAGACATCTCACAAACTTCGAATGTTATTGTTTACCAGAAATCCCACCCACTTCCAATTTTATTGTTTACTAGACATCTCACCTACTTCAAATGTTATTGTTTACTAGACATCCCACTCACTTCAAATGTTATTGTTTAAAAGACATCCCACACACTTCAAATGTTATGGTTTACTAGACATCCCACACACTTCAAATGTTATTGTTTAATAGATATCCCACAAACTTCGAATGTTACGGCTTACTAGACATCCCACCCACTTCAAATGTTATGGTTTACCAGACATCCCACCAACTTCAAATGTTATGGTTTACCAGACATCCCACCCACTTCAAATGTTATGGTTTACCAGACATCACACCCACTTCAAATGTTATGGTTTACAAGACATCACACCACATCAAATGTTATTGTTTAATAGACATCCCATCCACTTCAAATGTTATGGTTTACCAGACATCATCGTGGGGATGTTAT